GCATTTTGCAGTTTCTCCACTAATGCTCTTAAATATATCTGGACATTTCCATCTCAATCAAAACACTTTTAATGTTGTAGAGTGGAGAATCATTTACCTCAGTGTGTCCAGTTTACAGTGTTGACTCTTCAGTCCATCAGAGAGAAGCTTCACTCCTGAATCCTGCAGGTCATTGTTACTCAGGTCCAGCTCTCTCAGCACACAGTTTGAGGATTGTAGAACTGAAGACAAACTCTCACAGCACTGAACAGTGAGATTACAGCACTGTAGTCTGTGTAGAGGACAAAGAGCAACACAATCAGCAGTGAGAAATGAGCAGTGTTGAGTGTTCATGAGTTCAGTCTACAGTGATAAAAGCAACACTGGAAATAAACTATATATATATACTGCTCAAACAATAAAGGGAACACTAAAATAACACATCCTAGATCTGAATGACTGAATTATTCTTATTAAATACTTTGTTCTTTACACAGTTGAATGTGCTGACAACAAAATCACACAGACATGATCACTGGAAATCAAATGTATTAACCCATGGAGGACTGGATTAGGAGTCACACTCAAAACTGTAGTGAACTGCAGGAATTGCTGACACACTCCAGACACATGAGGTCCAGCATTGTCTTGCATTAGGATTAATCCAGGGTCAACCAGACCGTATATGGTCTCACAAGGGTCTGAGGATCTCATCTCAGTACCTAATGGCAGTCAGGCTACCTCATGGTGTTGTACCATGGTGTTGGGCTGCAACCCCCACCTGTGGACATCGGGCCCTCATACCACCCTCATGCCTCAGAACAAGCCTGTTTATTTAAAATAAAACATATCTTCTTTTTATTTATTTATTGAAAGTACATTAAACTAAACTAAAGCTGTATTTCCCCATTCATATGACTGTACTGAATTATTGAACAGATTATTAATAACTAATCAGAGAGCATTTTACTGAGCTCAGTGTAAAGTTTAGTGTTTAGGCCTACAGTAAATGTAATATTAGAGGCATGTCTGCGGCGAGACGCCAATACTGTGTCTAAAATTACACTATTTCTCTGATCAGAAAACAAACACAATTATCCAAGAGCAACACTGTGTTAGATTTGAGCAAATACACATCAACAAATGTCCTATTCAGCTGCAGGAGCACAGGGATTTACAGGGATTTGAGTTATTTTCCAGGATAAACTGTAAAGCAAATGAAGTAGATTATTAAATAAGTACAAATGTTGTTTGTGTGAGTAAAAAGTCAAGAAAAGTTTGTTAAATACGTTTAGAAATGCTGAAATAAATGAGCAAATAAGGAAACAGAACACTGCCGCCGCGTCCCCATGCAGTAATATGGTGTATCAGCGATCTCACAGGGGGACGATATGGCCAGCTAAAGATTTTCTGTTAAAGCAGGGCAGTGATTCACTAAACTGATCTGAGTCTTCAGTGCAGACTGATGTGTGTCTTCTGTGATCAATCAATGAATACTCACAGAGCTCTTCTGCAGTTTCTCACAGCTGCTGTCAGTCTCCGTCTTCCCTCAGCTGATGTGTTGAATTTATTAGAGTCTAACTCATCCAGCGGCTCCTCTGACATCTCAATCATGTAGGAGATTGTTGAGCAGTGAGCAGGAGAGACTTTCTCCTCTGAGTGTTTGTCTGATTTCACAAACTCCTGAATCTCTCTGGCCAGAGTCTGATCTTTCACCTCCAGCAGACAGAGGAACAGATTGATGGATCTTTCAGCTGAGAGACGGTCATCTTCCTTGATCATGTCTTTAATGTCCTGTGTGATTTCTCTGATGTTCTCTGAGCTCTCCTCTGTGTGTGTCAGCAGATCCTGGAAGAGTCTCTGATTGGACTCCAGTGAGACGCCCAGCAGGAACCGCAGGAACAGATCCAGATGACCATTACTACTCATGACAGCTTTAACTACTGCTGAACTGAGCAGAACATACAGAGAATTCTCAGAGCTGGACTGTAGATATTGATCATATGAATATTCAGATTCATCACTGTCTGACTCATCTTCATCATCTGAATATTCAGATTCATCACTGTCTGACTCATCTTCATCATCTGAATATCCTCTGTCATAAATCACCCTCAGCGGTTCTCTGTTCTTTGTTAAATGGCAGTAAAACACAAAGAAAGCAGCCAGAAACTCCTGAAAGCTGAGATGGATGAAGCTGTAGACTTTCCTCTGATGAATCACAGATTCCTCCTTGAAGATCTCAGTGCAGATCCCAGAATACACCGAGGCGTCAGTGACGTCTATGCCGCTCTCAATCAGGTCCTCCTCATAGAACATCACATTGCCCTCCATCAGCTGTCTGAAAGCCACTTCAGCAAGTTTGAGGATCACTCCTCTGTTGGACTGCAGGAGTTTCTCTGGATCTCTCTCTTCATACTTCTGCTTCCTCATGTTGATCTGAATCAGCAGGAAGTGGATGTACATCTCAGTCAGAGTTTGAGGGATTTCTGCACTCACATCTTCTTCCAGGAGCTTCTGAAGCACAGTGGAGGAGATCCAGCAGAAGACGGGTATGTGGCACATGATCTGGAGGCTTCTTGCTCTTCTGATGTGGGAGATGATTCTGCTGGCTTGATGCTCGTCGCTGATTCTCTTCCTGAAATATTCCTCCTTCTGAGGCTCAGTGAATCCCTGAATCTCTGTCAGACGCTTGATGTATCTGGAGGGGATCTGATGGGCTGCTGCTGGTCTGGAGGTGATCCAGATGAGAGCAGAGGGAAGCAGATCTCCTTTCAGGAGGCTCCGCATCAACACAGCCACTGATGAAGATTCAGTCACAGCACAAACTTTCTCCTCATCTGAAAAGTTGAGTGTGATTCTGCTTTCATCCAGACCATCAAAGATGAACACAACTCTACACTGCTCATAAATCTTGGGCTCCAGATCTTCAAGTTCAGGATGAAAGTCCAGCAGAAGTCTGTGAAGACTGTACTGATGATCTCTGATCAAGTTCAGCTCTCGAAATGGAAGCACAAACATGAAATCTACATCCTGATGGTCTTTTCCCTCGGCCCAGTCCACAATGAACTTCTGCACAGAGACGGTTTTCCCGATTCCAGCGATGCCTTTAGTGAGAACAGTCTTGATCTGGGCTTTCTCCTTCTTGATCTTCTCCTCATGTCCTGCTCCAGCTGAGGCTTTAAAGATGTCATTGCAGTAGACTGGAGTGTGTTGTGAGGGTTTTGTTCTGGCTCTTTTCTCCATCTGTAAAACCTCATGTTCTTCATTCACTCCTTCACTCTCTCCTTCTATGATGTAGAGCTGTGTGTAGATCCTGTTCAGGAGGGTTTGAGTCTCTCCATGGTTGATTCCCTCAAATAATCTCTCATACTTGTTCTTCATGCTGGTTTTGTGCTGCTCTTTGACTCTCTGAAGTTCATCATGTTCTGGTTGGAGTGAATCCTGCTGCAGGTCTCCAGTCTGATCATCTCCATCCACACTGCAGGAACAACAACAACACAAAGAATCAATGAGTTTGAGTGTAAAGATCCTCTAGTGAAGCCATGTGTGTTTTCTCTGAACCAGCTGAGACACAATACACAGATTTAATCAGATTTAACTAAACAGCACACACTGATCACATCTACTGCTCAAAATGCTGTAAACATTTAATAGTACTTGTCATTTGTTAAATGTAACACTTCAATCATTTGATATCCTTCATTCACAATGATGCTGGATGCTCACTGAAGACATTTAAAATCTTTTAGGATGAAAATGTGAGAGAGCACAAGTGTAACACTGCCGGTCCTACACCACCCAACCGGCTCTGAGCTGGGATCCAACCGGCGACCTTCCGCATGGGGGTCAGTTGCTCTACCAAGGAGGCTAAAGACCATGACCTCTAGCGTCTGTCACTAGAGCACCTTTAGAGGTCAGAGGAGTGAGGTTTACCTGCACAGCACTTACTCGCTGGCCTCCGTTACAATAAAGACTGTGTGGTGTGTTTGTCTCACAGAACTTGTTCATTCATCTCGTCTAAAATCTTTCTCTTGATTATCCACACTTTGCTGACTATTGTAAAAGCCTGTAAACTCACTCTACTAACTCTAACAGTTTGAGTATTAATACTTTATTAGTACTTCACTAATGATCAGATGTGAGTGTGTGGACATTTAGTTTTAAAGTCTCCTGTATTTGTAACACTTGTTAATGTCTGATCTTCTAGAAACACAGGATCATATAAATGCTGCAGTGTGATCATGTGTGTGTAGAGATGATCTACCTGACAGCAGGTCCTGTGTTTTCATTTTTAAATGTTGGTGGGTTCATAGACGCGTCACTCTTCATAGACACACAACTGGGCTCTGCTTCTGCTCTCTTCTGATGAACTGAACTAAAACAGAGAAGATTAAAGTTGAGCGCTGCACACACTGCACAAACCTGATATTAATCATTTTTCATTTACAAAAACACTTAAAATAATTTCCATCATCTATCATGACTGAATGAGCAGGAGAACTCGAGAAATATCAATTGTAGAAACCAAATGTGTTGATCAGCAGCATCTATGAGGCCAACACAACATGATGATGACTGCGCTTCAGTGAAAACAGACTCAGATCAGAGGAATGGCTGATCAGTACAGCACAGAAACAGCAGGGGAAAGTGTGCAGGAAAAGCCCTTTATGGCAGGAGATCGGGAACACTTTAGTTTAGCTCACAATTCATACTATTAACTACCGGCTTATTATCTGTGGAATGTGAACATATGAACTGCTCATTAGTAGTCATACAGTATGATCTTATTGTGGATCCCTAACCCTACCCAAAACCTAAACCCACCTTCTACCTCACTAACTATTAATAAAGCGCTGATTGGTTTGTTAACACCATCAATTGTGGCCTGAAGTGTAAAGCGGAGATCTTCAAGCACTATCCTGCAGAGCTCAGATACAACATCTAACATCTGAAACCCAACAGATCCACAACACTAATTACCTGATTCATTTATTATGAAAATACTCATCAGTTGCAGATATTAAAGAGATGATCTACCTGACAGCAGGTCGTGTGTTTCCACTCTTAAAATTTATTGGTAGAGCCATAGACTTGTCACTCTTCATAGACACACAGCTGGGCTCTGCTTCTGCTCTCTTCTGATGAACTGAACTAAAACAGAGAAGATTAAAGTTCAGCGCTGCACACACTGGAGTCAACACAGCAGATTTACTCAACATTTCATCATTAAAACACTGTTTAAACAGCACTTCATGATACTTTTCATGATGATTGTACACAATCTTGCTGACTGTGTGTGTTAAATATTGTGACAGATTATTTTGTAGAAAATAATCATATGAAATGTCAAGTGTAGGACTAATACCTGCATCCTGTAGACAAATCCTGATCTCCAGCAGTGTGTGTGTTACCCATGATGGACCTGAAGAGTTTGATCTCCAGCAGAAACTGATGAACAATCACAGATCTCCAGTCATTGATCAGCCTTCATAATTCAGCTGAATGCAGGAATAGATCAGCAGCTGAGACACTCAAATCCAGAAGCTCATCACGAGTAAACTAATGAAGAATCACAGCGTCATCCGTTTGATTATAATAACAGCATACACACATTCACATAAAGCTTACAGGTTTTATCAAGACATTAAAGATTTAAAGCTGTTCTGCGTTGTAAATGGTGGATTCTGTCTGTTTAAAATGGCGACACAACAACTAAACACTTTCACTTTCGTTTCTGAAGGAGCGGCAGATCATGAGTTCAGTGAAAAACATCCGTCACAAACACTCTAAACAGAGCAGAGAAGAGTCAAACAGCTGCAGGGTTATCAAAGCACCTGCGGAGGTACATTTTACAAGGGTGATTTTACCTGAAGCAGTATAAACACTGGACACAGAGAAGACAGAAGAAACACATTCCCGGACATCCTCCGCCGCCTCCTCCTCTTCTTCTTCTTCTTGTGTGGCGAGTTATAGAAAGCAGCGTAAAGCTGAATACCGCCACCTGCTTTACTGGAGAGTGTATAATAATAATATGTTTACAGTTTGGTCAAATCAGTGTCATAGAGCTCAACGTAGATTTGTAGAAAATAAAATGACTGCTTTCACATATATACTCTAATCTATATACTCTAATCTTTCTTCATGAAGTCTAGCACAGCTTGTGTTATATTCCCCATGTGTGACTGCTCTGATGAGATCAGCTCAGGCATTGAGAGGATCAGGAGTTGTCCTGTTGTGTCGCTGCACTGATAATCCTCTCGTGTGTAACTGCAGATGAAAGCATCGTGTCTCTGCAGTGGTTTAAAGATCAATATGATCATTAAAATATACTGTTAAATAAATTGGAATCATTGAAAATAAATAAATACAAAGAAGAGTTAAAATGGCTATGATTTACACAACGACGTGTTGCTCTTTGTATTGAATAACTGCCTGAGAAAATGACTTGGAGTGTCCGCTAGGGGGTGATCTAGAGCTGCAGATAGTAGGCGTTGTTTAACTGCACTGTGACCTTTTTTGTTTGTTTTTAATTGCATAACTGTCAGGAACAAACACACAACACAACACAAATAATGAAACACACAAAAAATAATACAACAATGGTAAAAGTCAACAAAAAACAAAACAAATAGATAAAACAGATAGACAAAACAGATAAATAAATTAAAATAAATTAAATTACACAAAAGAAAAGTGTGCAGCATTTCTACATCTGATGATTTTAGTAGTTGACAGGGGATTTATAAAAAGTGTCATAATATTTGATGCATATCTCAGATTTTATGTTTTTTTAACAATTTCACTGTAGAAAAAAAAAACTCAATACAAAAAAACGGTTAATGTGGGAGAAGATTTAGCAGATTTTTGTTTGTGTATGTAAAGCTTTGCCAATAAAATAAAGAGATTAAGAATATATTCAAGACATTTGTTGCATTTGTTTTCATAATGAAAAATTACATCTTTTAATGTAAAATAATAACTAAGTTTTGTCCTTTCACAAATATATTTGGCTGATTTTTCCAGAAATTCTTTACAATGTTGCATTCAAAAAACAAATGGCAAAGGCTCTCTTCATCCACAGATATCCTCCATTTCAATGCGCTTTGCTAAAAGAGATTTTACTGCGTAAACTTTATGTAATATTTTAAAATGGATTTCCTTCATTTTATTATTAATAGAATATTTGAAGGGACTTAACCAGGCTTTTTTTGCAGTTAATATTAACTATAATAGAGTTCCAGAGAAATGTGCCTCTAGGAGTGATTTTATTTTGCTTCTGAAAAATATTACGAATATGTCTGTTAGTACATTTATTATCAGTCAACTCAACACCTTCTAAATGTAGTTTTGGGTTTACAGCAGATTATAGCAAATATGATTTTTAACAAGTTGAATCATTTCTACAGGGATAGATTTAATTCAATTCTCTAAACAATATTGGGAAATTGTAAGTAGACATGAAATGTTCATAGGATAGGATATTCCCTGCACTGTCAAACAGTGTTAAAAGAGGATTAATGTCTCTATTAAACCAATTTACTAAGAATCAAGATTTATTTGAAGAGCTTATATTACCATTATTCCCAATGAAGGAGAAACATTGTGACAGTAAGAGATTTTCCAAGCAAGAAGAGCTTGTTGATGGAATTTAGTGAAAGTAGTGTGTGTGAATGTGTGTGTGGATGTTTCCCAGAGATGGGTTGTGCCTGAAAGGGCATCCGCTGTGTAAAAACTTGCTGGATAATTTGGCGGTTGATTCCGCTGTGGCAACCCCAGATTAATAAAGAGACAAGGTCGACAAGAAAATGAATGAATGAATGATTCCAAAAGGAATTGGGGGTAGATAGACATCTCTTAATCCAATTAATCCTGAAGATCTTATTGATATCTTCAAAATAAAGCATTTCTAGTCCTTCTTCAGCTTTCTTATTAGTAAGAACTCTTTTTTTTTTTATACTTTGGGACTTGTTTTTCCAAATAAAAGAAAAGAACAAGTCATTGATATCTTTGCAATTAGAGTCTTTAAGAAATAAAAACAAGGCGGGATAAACAAACGGAGATAAACCTTCAGCTTTACATAACAAGACACCACCATAAATGGAAAGTTCACGCTGTAACCAGCAATTTAACACGCTTTTGTTTTCTTTATTCTGGAAGAAACATTTAAGTCTTGTCTATTAAGTGTATTTTTGTTACAATATTTCTAAGGTATTTGACAGAGGATTTCACTGGGATGTTCATTGTGTGTTTATTCTTTAAACTGTGTAAAGGCAGAATTTCACATTTGGAAAGATTTCAAGTTAAACCGGAAGCCTTTGAAAAAGTATTGCTTAAAGAAATAGCATCAGGGATAACAGAAGCGTGTTTGAAGAATAAGGTCGAGTCATCTGCTGATTGAGAAAACTCAAAAACTCTATCAAAGATTTTGACACCTTGAATTTGCTCACTATTGATAATACCAATTGCCAATAATTCAACAACTAATACAAATAAAAATGGGGAAATTGGGCAACCTTGACGTACTCCAGGATAAATGGTAAATCTCGTAGTTGTAGAAGTATTTATGATTACAGAACTATTAATATTGGTGTAAAAAAATGATGACTTTTAGAAATTTATTCCCAAAACCAAAATACTCTACAATTTTAAACAAAAAACTGTGTTCAACAGAGTCAAACGCTTTAAATCTAAACAAAGGATAACAGCTTCATCATCTCCATAATCAGCATAATCTAAGAGATCAAGCACTGGCCTAATATTATTAGTTATGTGGCGACCTTTTAGAAAACCTGTTTGACATTCACTTATAATAATATTTACCTCATCTATTAGCAAATACCAAAGTTATACGTTTATAATCAATTGTTAGAAGTGAGATCGCTCTCCAGTTTTCTATCAATTGTGAATCTTTGTCAGGTTTAGCAATTAACGAGATGACTTCCTGATTCATGGAGGTAGACATTTCACCACTATTAATGCATTCAATAAACATGTTATAGAGGATTTTCAATGTGTTCCCAAACACTCTACAGTCAACCCATCTATACCAGGAGCTTTACCTTTCTTCATTTTCAGTAATGCATCTTTCAATTCAAGAGTGGCTAGATTTGAATGACATAAATCATTAAAGTCTTCATCTATAATAGGAATATTTTGATTCATTACTTTAATGAAGTTATCACAATTATTGTCATCAAAATTGGAGGTATAGAAGATTTTATAAAAGGAAAAAAACAAAAATTGCTTTGGGATCCATAAAAAGGCTGCCATTAATATTTATTGCAGGTAACAGATTTCTTTTAAAGTTTCTATTTTCTAGAGCAAAGAAATAACTTGTGTTTTCTTCTCCCTCTTCACGCCATTTGGCTCTAGAGCGAAGGAAAGCACCTTTAGCAAGATCCGGGTACATTAGATCAAGTTTAGATTGAATTTTAGTCAACTCTTCCTCGTCTTCCTTAGTATGAATTTCCTTCTGTTCCAGAATATGTCAATTATCCAGTGATTCCATTTCCTTTTGCCTGTTGAGTTTTTAAAATCATTTACTGCGTATGATGGCAATTTATCATACATTATATTTAAAAAGTTCCCAGTTACTTTTGAATTGATCTTTTAATCCTGTAAAAGTATTGCTTGCAATATTCTTAACACAGGTATTAAAGTAATGATCATTAAGAAGATTATTATTCAGTTTCCAATATCCTCTAAGACTAGAATTCTCTTTTGAACCTTAAAGAGATAAATAAATAAGTTTATGATCTGTTAATAAAGCATGTCTATGATTATTTTCCTGAACATAACGTAAAGAGATCAGAAATAAGTCAATTCTAGATTGTAAAGTCTTGCTTTTGTTAGACCATGTGTACTCTGATTTCACAGGGTTATAAAAGCGCCAAGTATCTGTAAGTAATAATGAGGCACAAAGAGATGCCAGATTGGATTGACCAGCATGTTGGAGGGTACGAGAGGGATATCTATCAATCAAACCATCTATACAGTCATTAACATCGCCTGAACATATAATATAATATATGAAGCATGAACATTGCTCCATTTGTGATTAAGTCTGAAATTTCGGCAAACAAAGTCTTATTCAACAAATTAGAATTATAACCATAAACATCACAAATGATAACCGTTGTGTTGTCCAGTCTAATAGTCAGAATCAACCATCTTCCATTTTCATCTGCAACAAAGTCAAGTACATCTCCTTTAAATCGATGCATCAAAACCATTACACCTGCTGATTGTGGAGTTCCATGACTAAAGTAAACAGAGTTTCCCCATTGTGATTCCCAAAATTTCACATCCAAGACCGAGGAATGAGGAACAAAGTCGGCATCAGTTCGTTTCAAAGAAGAAGAAATAAAGAAATAAAGCTTTCCTTTTCGTGTTCTCTCGAATACCCCTTACATTCAAGGATGCTATACACTGTTAACCCTTACCGTAGATTATGCAGTAAATAACTATAAAATAGCCAGTGTTTAGCTGTAATGAAAAGAAACAGTATTTTACTGTAAAATGAGCAGGATTTGTATGAAATTCTGTAGTGCAAAGAATAAATGACAGTAATTTACTCTATATACCATTACAGATATTTACTGTGATAATAAATGGGAAATTAATGTTCAACCATAAACAAACATTGCTAAATAACTAGTAAAAATGTTTATAAAATATATATATGTGTATATATCTTAAACAGCACGCACATACATTTTTGCAGAGACTCAATGAATTTGTCTGGAAAACTTCAAATGAAGTAAGTAAAAGTGGCATTAACAGTATAGTATAAAGACTTTCCTAAATAAATGTATAAATCATGTTATTTGTTGTGTTTTTTATTATTACTACAGATTTGGAAAGACATGAGAATCAGATTATTTATTATTATTATTAATTTTTTTGCTTTGGATAAAGTTTGTATATTTTTATTGTTTTTATTAAACGATATGAGCATAATTGTGATGCATGTAGGCAGTTGCTTTGAAAATATGCTATGTACCAGGGATGTCGAACTCCTGGAGGGCCGCAGCCCAGCAGAATTTAGTTCCAGTCCTGCTTCAACACGTTATCTTTAGATTTAGTTTGATCAGGTGTGTTTAATTAAGGTTAAAGCTTAACTGCTCTGTTACCCTGTAGATTATGCAGTAAATGACTGCAAAATAGCCAGTGTTTTTCTGTAATGAAAGAAACAGTATTTTACTGTAAACGGAGCAGACTTTGTATTAAATTGTGTAGTGCAAATGATAAATTACAGTAACTTACTTTACGTACACATTACAGGTAGTAACTGTGACAATAAATGGCAAATTACTGTTCAACCAGTACTGTCCCATCTACTCTGATGCTTTATGTTGCTATTTATAGAGATGTGCATTTTAAAAGCAGAAAACAATGATTTAGGCATCACCAGACACTCCCATAGGCTGTCTTATTCTTAACTAAAAAGTTTTAGAAAAAGTTTTCAGAAAATGCTGGCCCTTTAAGGGAGTCAGGTGTTTGATTTGTTTACTGCTGAGTGCGCTCTATTCTCTGTCCGTCAATTCAGATGTAGAGTCTGATATGTTTTAGGCTTTAAATAA